ATCAAATAATAGAAAACATTTTGGTTTCAATGTTGAAACTGTGCCGTATGGTGAGAATTGAAGAACATTTGGTGTTGTTGTTGAAAATTCGTACAACAGTTCATCTGCTAACTTTCCTAAAAACAATCAGGACATCATAAATGACTTACAAATATGACACTAGTCGAACATATTGCTTTATAGCGATAGAAAACTCTTTTTGTTGAGTCTCAGTGGTACGTCAATTTCGAAAAAAAACAGAAAATCACAAAGCATATCTTGATAATGGGCAGTTAGTTTGAATGTGCACCAGGTGCATCAAGAGACGTTTAATATTATGATAAAATGACAACCGACAAAACTGAAACTTCTTATCCAAGAAGAAGCTATTAAGAAAATGCATACATAACATTTTAAAAAAGAGGTGTAGAATACCCTTATGTCATTCCACATAAGCACTATGCTAATATTTATGCTTTCAGTTAGATTTACCTCCGATTGCTGATACACAATGTTCTTTGTTGACTTTCAATGTATATTTTGTTGAATATGGTAAACGATGTTTTGGTTCAAATTGAACTGTTTTCGTTCCTGTCCATCTCCATCGACCTACTAATTTTGGTGTTAATGATATACCACGATCTTCTATATTCATTTTTTCATCTAATGATGAAACAGCAATCATTGGTTGATTAAATGTTATTGTAACAGTTGCTAATGGATAATCAATTTGCGTTTCGTTAGGAGAATATCTTTCGATGATTAATGGACCTGCTTCTTGTTTAGCTAATTGTTTCAATTGTTCGATATCAATATCGAAATCTTCTTTACGATCTTCTAAAGGCGGTGGAAATGGTGTTTGTATTACTTTACTTGTTTTTGGTGCTTTAATTGTTGCTTCACGTTTGAAAAACTCTTGCTCATCCATCGATTCTGCAACCAATTCAGAACTAGCTCGAATGAATAACTGCTGTAATTGATCTGTAGTTAAGTTCTGTTGTTGTTGTTGTGAATCATCATTCAATGGTGCCACGCCAGCATCAGTTGTAGTTTGATCATCCATTTCATTTGCTTCGGCAATATTAAAATGGAACTGATGGGGTTCAGACTGTTCATCTTCAACCATTTGATTTTGAACCTGTCCTATTCTTACCATGGTATCAGGACGATAGAATGAAAATATAGCAGAACTGTAATATAATCTACAAAGAACAGTTTTAAATTTGATAAATGTTACAACAATAAGAAGCAAGAGTGGTCATGTGAGAGCGGTATGCCTATTGGCATATATGGTTCTACGGATACATTGGTAAGGATTTACGACTAAAAAGATATTTGGAAAATATAATTTCAAGAATATATACCTCTGAACAAAAGTCTTTCTCGCCTTTTCTTCGTTTTATTTTTGTATAGCCATATTGCATATTGAGTTTATTATCGAGTGGAGGCATGCCTTTCATAAATGTAGTTTCTCTCTCTCTTGTGTCATCTGCTGATTGAAATAACCCAATTGTATGAAATAAACACTGATCTGTAAAACATGAATATATAGTATAACTTCCTTTTCTCGACTTTTCTCGTTCGCAACATTACACCATGCATCTCTCTTTATCACAACGCTATGAAATTCTGTTTTTTAAAAGTCATCTACTTGGTCCTTAAATGTCAAACAAGGCCGTATTGAAACACATTAGTTGTTCGCCAAGGGCTGTACAATACTGGTTTGGACGCTGGAAGAAAAATAAAGATCTGTCTGATCCATCTCGAAATGGTCGACCACGCGCCACATCGAAGAAAAATAATTCAAAAATCGTTAAAATTGCTAAAGATGTGCAGAATGTTACATCAGCTGAGATCTCCAACATCTTGAAGAAGAGTGATGTTAACATAAGTTCACGCATTGTAAAACGTCGCTTACGAGATAATAGTGCAAATTATGGGGGACCTTACAAGAAACCCTTAATCAAGGAAATTCATCGAGAGAATAGACTTCTGTGTGCACAACAACATGAGCACCACGATTGGGACAATGTGATTTTTTTCTGATGAGAAGACTTTTGAGCTTGGTAATACCGAAAGAAAAGTACGGCGGCTTCCAGGTGTCACCAAGTTTGTTCGCACAGTCGAGCATCCTATCAAGTTACACGTATTGGGTTGCTGCTCAAAAAAAGGTTTTGTTCGACTTATTGGCTTCGATCAGAATTTGACTGGTAATTTAATGTACGATCCTTACGAGGACGGTTTGTTACCCACCACTGAAGATCAATTTCCTGAAGGTCCCACAAGTTGGTTTCTACAAGAAGATAACAATCCCAAGCACAGATGCCGTTTAGCGGTCGAGTGGAAACATGATAATGGGATTCAAGTTCTACCATGGCCGTCCACATCACCCAATCAGAATCCAATCGAAGGCATTTGGTCGACCATGAAAGACATCATAAGCAAAAAAATAATTCGAACAACTCGTAAATTCGAAATGCTTGATTGAAACAAATGGAGATTATACATCATATTAAAATAAATCATGAAGATCATGCCTCTACATGATAATAAACTTAATATCAAATACTACAGCGAAAGATGGATAGAGAGGGGAGGGAAAGACTTTTGTTCACAGATGTAGGTATAACTATAAAGTCGTAAGAGTGTAGTTTTAAAAGTGTCATTATCAGAACTACAGTTACATGTATGCATAGAAAAAAAGGTATAAAACCAATGCGAATGAACTTATTTACTGTAATGACGTTGTAACGGTACAATCGTCTATGATCATAAAAAAACGAATAACAAGAGGGTAGGTGTAAGTATGAATAAATTATAAATGTATCACCCTCACACTCACACTCAAGTCAGAGACTATGAAGTGTTAATTTCTTTTACAGAGAGAATATGAAATAAAGCAATCCCTTTGTTCAGTAAAAAACTAATTTGTAACAAGTAACGAAAGCACTGATTGGATCAGTGCATGTCGATTTTGGTTGATTATAATTGATTCTACCTGATTCTTAATCAATCCGTACTCGTATAAAATTAGCTATAATCAATTGTAATCGGTTAACAAACGAACATTTACATGAGCAGCTCGTGTGCTTACCAAGAAAGTAAAAAATATTTTAGAAAGAAGAATTCAAACAAACTTTCGTCGAAATCAGTATATAAGTGATCATTGCAACGACCGATAACATTTAATAGAATAACATATAAAATGTCTTGTCATTTTTCCATTATTATTTAGTCTAATCAGAAGTTTTGGTCAGTCCTAAATACTAAATTTATAAAAATAAGAATGTTTTCTAAAGATAATACGATTGGAGTATATAATAACATCAGGTAATATCTGATATATATAATATGTATTGATGACGTCATTCATTCTCGTAAGGACGTTGTGACATGAGAGAAGATTTTCTTATATAGTGAATTTATTCAAAATTCGACAAAATAATTCGACGAATAATGCATGAAGTATTACCCATTGATGTCATTTCCACTCAATAAGCAAGTGTGAAAGCATTCTGGTTATTTTTTGATTGTATCGTTGTATATAATGTTTCAAAAAAGTATCGTGTGATGGTGCAATTTTTTCTTGTTTATATGCGACTATAAGCGTGGAATAATGATTGTAAAAATGGAAATTGCATAAAAACAAATCTATAACACATGACTTGTTTTTTTACGAGCTATTACATTCCGTGCAAGTTATTTTTTGCGTTCTGCCTTGATAGTTATGTATACTCAGAATACACATTGCTCTGAAGATTTCTTATAAACGAGCAGTGAGAAGAAGAAAAAAAGTGACAAATGAAAAACATTTTAAGACGAGAAAAGATATGAAACAGATGTCACCGACGACCAGTGTGACGATAGGCACAATTCGCTAACAACATATTATCCTTGTACGATGTTATCAATTTTAGATGTCACCCTCGCATAATATAACTCTTCCGCGATATAACCTTCTTAGCTGATGAACTCTTGTTCTTGTTTTATGTTGTAATATCTTTCTCGCTTTCTCTTGTGTAATCTCGAATGTTCTTGTTTGGCCTCGTAATATCTTTCTCATTTTCTATTATGTAACCTCGAACGTTCTGTGTAGATATTTGTATCTTCTCTTCTATTGTGTAATCGAGTAATCTGTCGTAACAAGTGTATAAGGATGTGTAACAAGAAAAGAAAGACACAACTGGATAATGTAGTAGTGTAGTTAACATTGTACACTGAGAATAGCGATAATGCTATTCTTCCAGTTCGTCAGTGTGATCACAATAAAATAAATGCTGCAGCAGTAACGAAATAAATAAACCATCCATGTCATTTATTTTTCGTTACAACCAGCATTTTCAGTGGTATAATAACGCATACATGGCTTCTTCTTTATGCGATTGTGGATAAGGTCTACAAGCCAGAGGTGAATGAGAAATAATATTGATAATATGATCAATAGGTGTTTTGGCAATGTTATGTTTAGTTATATCGAAAATATGAGTATAACATATTAGCAAGGAGTATAGATCATGATTTTGTTCGTCATTCTCCACTTTATTAACTAACATATTAATATATTCTACAACTATGGGATTAACTGATTGTATTGTATTACAAAATGGATTTTTAGTTCGATATTGCAAGTCATTACTATTCTGAGGAAATGTATTACAAGAATTATATGATTTACTAGAGATGTCATCTGCTGTTAAATCAAAGGGTGCTGGAATCACATCGGAATAGCTGACGGCTCTAAATGATTTATACCGAGATGACGTGAAGACTCGAGAACATTGAAAGATAGAATGACAAATTAAACGCCCCACACACACGCCTTTTCTAACAATTTGTGGATACGACGAAGTATTAGATAACATAACTTTAGAGCAATAGTTGTGAAGAGTTAGATATGGATATGTAAGTGTTATAGAATTATGATGTTGTAAAGGAGAATGAGGAATAAATGATGAACAAATAGATGATACGAGAATTAAGATCTGTGTTGTTCGATTAGAATTAGGAGGAATAAATATTGTTTAAGAAGAAGTAACAGGAATTTTAATTGATTCGAAGTCTTTATCAATGGACATTGTATAAATATGATTTTTATATTTGATAGAAACAATTTGTTGTTTAATTTCAATATTGAGATTGTACATATTAATATAGTCTGTATCAAGGATCATATCCGTATATAGATTTTGTGCAATATGAACTTCAATTTTTATTATAGAATTAGAAAATCGAATTAATAGATGAATGAGTCCAAATACTTGAAAATGGGCAACTCCATCGGCTAAGACAAATACATCTGGTCGTTTACGGATATGATGAAGATGTGTCATATGATGTAAAGTTTTTTCGCTAATAAATGTTGTGGTTACTTCGATATCAATTAATGTTTTTTGTTTTATAGTTATTTACTAATGTGGTGATGAAAATTAAAGAGGACTTAGATGGTTTTTTATTATTCGGTCCGAAATCAACACTACCGTTCGATGACTTCCGAGTTAGAAATTTGGATAGGCCGAAGCCTCATGTCCATATTGATTACAGTGCGTACATACAATAGATGAAGAATTCTACTAAATCAGTAATGTTTAATGAATCGGATGGAAAAATTATATTTGCTGTACGTGGATGTGGTTTATTAATATTTGAAGAGTGATTTTTATATCGTTTTATATGATTTTGATTATAATTATCAGTAGTATTAGGTGATGCTTTGTACTTATTCGTTTGAAATCGTTGTTTAAAATCTGTTGTTCTTGTTTGAGGATATTAAGATGAACGAAAGGAATTAGATGTAAATGTAGATGATAAAGGATTAGATCGAAAATTTCGATTATTATACCCATTATAGTTATTATTAAATTTTTGAGAATATCCAAGTGTAAAATTAGTCAAAAATTGGTTTGCTGAATAAGTATTAGTTGATGATGGTGTATTAGTTATTGAAGAAAATTGTTAATATTGAGATGTGAGAGATAACTAATTTGAATTACTACCAATGTTAATATCAAATAATTGAAAACGTTCTTCAGCTTCGTTAGCATTTTCAAGAGATTCAGCCGTCGATGTCGATTTTTTTCTTACGAACTTCATATTGTATACTTGGTTTGGTTTCATTCAAAAGATTTTTTAATTTTGTAGCTTCGCTTATAGTTGAGTCAGTTTCATGATAAAGTTTTAATACTTCGTTAAAAAAATTAAGAATAGCTTGATTTTCTTCTTGTGTATAAGTTTCTAGTCGTTTAAAAGCTAATTCGTCACAGAACAAAGAAGTAAAAGCTTTTTTAATTTCGTATAGAAAATTTTTCCAGGTAGTTAATATAAATTTATTGCTTTTATACCATTGTAGACCATCGTATCGCAATGAATAAGAAATTATATCTAATCAATTCGAATCAGAAACACGTGCAACTTCCAAAAGATGTTAGATCTTCTCCATTCATTTTCTTACATCATCTTTGCCACTTTTAAATACTTTCTGATTTTTTATCAAATCTCCTACAATAGTTCTACGAAGATCACTAATTGTTTCATCAAGCAAAATTATCGAAGAACTAGAATTATTCATTGTTGATTTTATGTCTGATGTCTCACCAATGATATTGATGACACCAAAATCAACCTTAGCAGTTGAATTAAATGTAGGTGTTTGACGTGAAATATTAATAGTATCGGAAAAATATGTTGTATTTTCAGTTTGATTATCAATAGTTTTATTTGAAATTGATGAATATGGTTTAGAAAAATCATTATTGACTACTTCAGGTAGATTTGATGAAGATATGGACGTATCAATTATATCAAATTGTAACAAAAGAAATTCATAAAAGTCATCAAAAGATAGAATTTGCTTACGATTTTTAATGTATTTACGTTTAGCATCACCTTCAACTAGAAGTGGAATAGCTTCAAAATATAAATTACGAGAAATTCTTAACTGATTAAATTTGTTTTCGATTTCATCTAACCGTTGAATTACATTCTGTTTTCCTGAAAACGGAACAAAATTTTGTAAAACGAAATTATCAAAATTATGATTGTCTTGAGTTTCTTCTGGATGAAAATGATTATCTCCTTCGTTGATAACATCGAATTGTGTAGTATCATGAGTTCATTTATTAGCTGTATTGGATGGATGGTGGAACATTAGATTTATTTATGAATTCACAGTTGTTATTATTAGATTTATTGCAATAATCAACTTTATCAACAATTTTAACGACATCAGAAGTTTTTAATTGTTGATTTTTTTGAAATTGTAGAAATGTCAATCTATGAATTGACATTTTTGTCAGATTCATATCCATCATTCCTTAAAATAAGTTTTTGTTTTGAAGTTTGTTGTTCCTTTACATTATTCATTATATTAAATCCTTGTATATTTTTTGATCGATAAGGTGTAGCCATTATTGATTTACGACGGTCGTCTTTATTATAATTCGGTAGGATAAATTCCAAATTTTTTGTTGATGTTAAAATTGAATTATCAAATGTAGTTCGTTGATTTAAGGAACTAAGTGATGAAGATTTTCTAATGGAAGATTTATGATTATTGTTATTCATTTAATCTTTCCTGTAACTTAATGTTTTATAATTACGATCATTAAACCACATACAAAGAACACAACAGAAAAAAAATTTCTTTTTTTGTTAAAATCAGGCAGTTACGACGATAGAAATAGACAAGATAGAAAAAAAAGCATAATAGTATATAAAGAAAACAAAAACAGACAATTTATTTGCCTAACGTCTTTACCAATTGTGACCGTCTCGATTGGGTGTAGCTAATGTATTAAATAGAAATAATAATAATGTTTATTTTATAATAAATAAACACTTAACAATTAATAATGATGTTAATAATATCAACAATAATAAGAATAAATGAAAATATGGAAAAAATAATAATAATAATAGAAAAACTAATAACAACAACAGAACAGAATGAGATGATGCAATAACATATATATATGAGTCATGAGAGTCAGCTATAACAAAATGAACAATAGAAAAAATCGAAGAGGAATAAATAACTCATAATACATGATTATAAGTTTAACGTCAATGAGAAGCATCTTTTGACGCTAACAACACTGCATATGGTATCAATTATTAGTGATTTCTGCGCCATTTGATCATTCTTCAACTAACATCATAATGATAAAAATTTCGATAAGAACTGTTTTTATGTACAACTTGAATGTAACATTAGAGCATATTATTATTCATGTATATTCCCTTTTTTTTTTCTTTGTTCTTTTCTTCTCTTTTTCTTCATCTGTTTATTTTTCTCGTCTCTTCTAATACCTAGCCGTCCATACATATTTGAGCGTAAAAAAAAAGTAAAGGTCTTAGAACAGAAAAGAAATACAGAAACAAATTCAACAAGTTTTTATTCCATCAAATGTTCAAAATAATCACCTTGGTTATTCATACACAATTGCATTGTTGCATCCATTTATCGAAGGTTTTTCTATACTCTTCTTTATTCAAAGAGTACATGAACTGGATTACAACATCATGCAATGATTCTGTTTAATTAAATCGAATAATCAAAGCTCACATGGTATCAGATCAGGAGAATTATGTGAATGCGGTATTATTGTGATACCCTGCGATTCAAGGTAATTGAACACATCTTTAGGTATCTATGGTCTTCCATTATCGTAGTGAAGTTTAATACCACGGATGCCAAATTAGAGTCTTTGATGTTTGATTTCGTTGACGAGAGGTTGCAAACAATGGTTGATATAATACTGGTGGTTGATAGTTTATCCCTGTTGCACATGATGAATCGGAACAGGACCAGTTGACTTAAAAAAGATGAAAATTAAGGTTCTTGCAGCAAATTTACTGCATCGAACCACGATGAATGAAGGGTTTCCTCTTGCCATTCATGCAGCATCTGATAATTTTCGACCAATTTGTATATGATAAAACCAAGACTCATCACCTGTCACCACATCACATAAGTTCACTAAATCATTTAGAGCATCTTTCAACTGTTCTAAGAGAAGAAACTTGATCACCATGAACAGAATATAATTCATCATGAACGACGCTTGGTTGAATGTTAAGTGCGATACTCACTTTAATGTAGGAGCGAAAGTTTTTCGTATTCATCTAAAACAGATGAACAGTTTTAAATTTAAATCTAACTTTATTTTTTTGACTTTCTTGAAGATGCACGAATAAACTATATATACACACAAAACAAGCAAGACACATGTCTTAATATATATGTATGTATGGACGGTTAGGCATTAGAAGAGAAGAGGAGAATAAAGAAAAAAAACCGAAAAGAGAATACACATGGATGGTAATATGATCTAATGTTATAGTCATGTGTTTCACAAAAACAGTTCTTATTGAAATTTTATTATTATAAATATAAATTGAAGAGTGATCAAATAGCACAGAAAAATAGACCATCGTTTTCTCTATCACCACATAAAAAAAAAGAAAATTTCTTCAAGCATTCTATACGAAAATAAAATAGTGGCGCTACTACTTGTGGATTACCTTATGTATATATATGTATTGAACTAAAAGTATTTATAGGTTATCTAGACTTCTAAAAAAATATATTATTTGTCAGGCTTAGTTAGTTCTTTATGGTAGCAGTACCATATATGCGGTAAATAGTGGAATCCGATTGTTTGTTATCTCATATCATAAGAATTATTCTATGAAAATTTAACCTTGCTCATAGATAAAATTTTGAATTTTTTTCCTTTTATAAAAATAAAATCAAAATTGAGTTGCATCAAAATTTAAAGTTCACCTCAGAGTCTTATAATTCGTTTATGACGTCTGAATCTGTACAGCAGCATAGTAAACAACGAAAAACAAAAGATTATATTCAATGCATCATAAACAATAATGACGTTACTTCGACGTTAGATGTAATAAATACAGAATTCTGTTTTAATTGTTTGGGTTTTACCCCATTTCATATGATCAGTATGTAACAACGTGTTAAAACGTCTCACAGAAAGGAAAAGAAAAAGAATTCACGAGAGACGAAATGAACATAAATGCAATATTTGAGTGTATCCGATAGAACGAAAGCAAAAGCTATCATTAGTAACGTACTGATATTTTTTTTCTTTCTTTTCTTCTTATGATAAAATCAAATATATTATGTTACAATATGCAAAACATTAGTGTAATGATTACACATGCATCAGCAGTAACATCTACATATATCAACCAATCACTGCAGCGACACAAACATTGGCAAAAATAGAAGTGAAGAGTAAGTTACATAGGAAGATATGTGAATATGCAAATGAATACATATAACAATTTATATTTGTATCTATATTTATTTATGACAATACTTAGTGATATAGAGATACAATGGAACACTGAAGCTAATGTGGGAGTTAAAACTGGTCGAGTTATAACCATCAATCATAGTTATAACTATCAACCATTTTAACTCAATTAACGTTTTGATTTTTGGAGTAGATTCAATTAAGTTAAAATAGTTATTATTTTGATTTCATTGATATGTTTGATTTGTGGAGGTGTGAAAAACTGGATTTGTAAACAAAATCCTAGGCACACTATTGTACCCCCCCCCTAATTTCTAGCTTTTTTGACTTGTATTCGACGATTTTCGATTAGAATAATCCCCACTTGTCTTTAAAGAAATATCATATTTGGAATCAGCACAAAGATTGGAATTGACCTATATATGTTTTCAACTTTTTCTTCGACTTTTTTTTTCAGTCAAATTTTTATATCTGGTCTCCCTCGGGGATATATGAAAAAAAGATTTTCATCGAAACAACTGTTTTATTGATTCACCATTTTTTCATATATCCCTAAGGGGAACCAAGGAGTAAAAATTTGACCGAAAAAAAAGTCGAAGAAAAACTTTGGAACATATATAGGTCAATTCCAATCTTTATGCTGATTCCAAATATGATATTTTTTTGAATACAAATTGGGATTATTTCAATCGAACATCTTGGAATATAAGTGAAAAAAGCTAGAAATTATAGAGGAAAAATAGTGTGCTTAGGATTTTATTTAGGGCTCATTTTTTTAGAGCTTGAAAAGATCTATCGGGTGGTATATAAGACAAATTGGGTGCTAGTTGATCTTATGAAAAATCAAGTACATAATTGTAATTCATATAAGATAAAATCTTTTTTTTCATATATAGTCATGTTATTGTTTAACAATTTTGACTTATGGGCTCACCTTTATAAATTCTGAAAAATAGCTAGTTCTGTAGAGCTTGAAAAGTTCTATCGAATGGTATATAAGACAAATTGGGTGCTAGTTGATTTTATGAAAAATTGAATACATAATTATAATTGATATATGATGTATATGAAATATAAGGTCATAGTGTAGGCAAGGAAGGATCCATATTTCATCTGTCAACAATGAAAATTGTATTCTAAACGAATGACTTTATCAAAAAGATGTAGCTTGACGAAAGATCTGTCAAAAAAACTTTGAGTTAATATTCATCTTTAGTTTTCTTTCTTCAAACAGTTCATTTACGAAAACATCAAATCTAGCATCAAAATAATCAGAAGGCTTTAGTCTATCGATTTATATGATTCGATTAATTTTAGTAACCAAAATCAAAAGTAACTAAAGTGCATTTTTATGTGCCCCCGTCTTTTAAGGCATGACATAAAAATAAAATAAGTGCAAACAAACTAGACTATTTTCTTTTTCTTTTCTATTATATTAGTCATCGATAGTGATATAGAAAAGGATTGAATCCCTATCTAGCTATTACTATTACAGTCTTGTTTTTCGGTATCACTATCAATGACTAATATAAAAGAAAAGAAAACGAAAATAGCCTAGGTTGTTTGTACTTATTTTTATTTTTATGTCATGCCTTAAATTTATTATGTGATGAAGTATCTCATCTAGATACGAAATATCATTAATTTTTAATAAATTATTAATTATTAATTTGAATAAAATAAAATAAGAGAAGAGAATTAACTTATGTTAAATATCTATTCAACCTTTTTTTACAACATATGAAGAATAGTATTTGAAAAACAGTAACTGCTTTATTCTATTTCTTATTCTCTAAAATAGTAATGATTTTCAATATATGTTGTGAGGTAATAGATAACGCTCTGTGTGTATAATCACATATATTTTATTTAAAGATGAAATAATTATATCTAGTTTTTCCCGTTCATTCGTGAACTTCCATTACTACTGTTATCACAATGTAAGTTTCTCTACTGTTTTCGTTCCTCCCATTACAATATCGACAAACGAGACAAGAGAAACGAAAGAATAAAGAAATTCAGACAGCAAGAGCGATGCAAAGTGAAGATCCAACCATTGTTTGCTTATAGATTAAAGGTAACGAGAAATACTTCCTACATCATTCAAAAAGAAAAAGTGGATGATGGCTTGTTGATGTCTGGTTTGAGGGTACCCTATTTATGGCATACATATGACTAATAATTTTAATTAGTCTCAAGTTTTAAGTAATATTGAAAATGGTATTGCTTAGTGACTATAACAAAACTGGTTCTAAATAAGGTTCATGATTATAGCTATGGTTG